ATCTTTGTCCCTTTCTCAGCATTTTTCTTGTAGTTAATTTCTAGCTTTATAGCATTGTGATTGGAAAAGATGCTTGTTATTATTTCAATTTTCTTAAATTTATAGAGGTTTGCCTTGTTTCCCAACATATGGTCTATCCTTGAGAATGTTCTGTGTGCACTTGAGAAGAATGTGTATTCTGCTGTTTTTGGATGGAGTGTTCTATATATGTCTATTAAGTCCAGCTGGTTTAGCTTTTCATTTAATTCCACTGTTTCCTTGTTGATTTTCTGTCTGGATGATCTGTCAAATGATGTGAGTGGGGTGTTGAGGTCCCCTACTCTTATTGTGTTATTTTTGATATCTTTTCCTAGGTTTGTTAATAGTTGCTTTATGATCTTTGGTGCTCCTGTGTTGGGTGCATAGATATTTATAAACGTTATTTCTTCTTGATGAAGTGTCCCTTTGATCATTCTATATTGGCCCTCTATTTCTCTCTTTACCTGCCTTATCTTGAAGTCTACTTTGTCTGATATAAGCATTGTGACACCTGCTTTCTTTTGTTTGCCATTAGCTTGGAGTATCGTCTTCCACCCCTTCACTCTGAGCCTGTGTTTGTCATTGCAGCTGAGATGTGTTTCCTGGAGGCAACAAATTGTTAGATCTTGTTCTTTAATCCACCTCGCCACTCTGTGTCTTTTTATTGGAGAATTCAATCCTTTTACATTGAGGGTGATTATTGATGTATGAGGGCTTAATGCTGTCATTCTGTCACTTGTTTTCTGGTTTTCTTGCATTTCCTTTCTTTCTCGTCCTGTGTATTTTGGTCTACCCATTGACTTATGTGGTTTTTTATGATGTGTTTCTTTGTTTTCTCCTTATTTATTTTTTGTGTCTCTGTTCTGCATTTTAGGTTAGTGGTTACCCTGAGGTTTGTATTCAGAATCTTGTGTATAACATAGTCCATTTTCTGATGGCCTCTTATTTCCTTAATCTAAACTGATTCTGTCCCTTTCCTCCTCCCCTCCTAAGTTGTTTTTCTCATATCTTGTTCCAACCTGTGTTGTGAGTTTGTGGTTAAAGTGAGAAGACTGTCTTTGTTTTTGGTGTTTTCCTTCTGTTTAGCCTAATGCTATAGTTGAGTATTTGCTATCCTATTCTGAGTCTACCTATTTGTCTCCTTACTCTGTGTTTTGTGGCCCCTTTATCCTTTTTCTTCTTTGTTCAGATATGAGGGCCTTCTTGAGGATTTTTTCTAGGTGGGGGTCTTGTGGCTATGAAGTCCCTTAGCTTTTGTTTGTCTGGGAAAGATTTAATTTCTCCCTCATATTTGAAGGATATTTTTGCTGGATAGAGTACTCTTGGCTGAAGATTTTTATCTTTTAAAGATTTGAATATGTTACTCCATTCTCTCCTAGCTTGTAAGGTTTCTGCAGAGAAATCCACTGAAAGTCTGATAGGGATTCCTTTGCAGGTTATTTTCTTCTCCCTTGCTGCCCTAAGTATTCTTTCTTTGTCATTCATTTTTGCCACTTTTACTACTATATGCCTTACAATAGGTCTTTTTACATTGACAAATCTAGGAGATCTGGAAACTTCCTCCTCATGTATTTCCCTCTCATTCCCTAGATTTGGGCAGTTCTCTGCTATTGTTTCTTTGAACACGCTTTTCATTCCATTTTCCTTCTCTTCACCTTCTTGAATACCTATAATTCTTATGTTGCATTTCCTCATTGAGTCAGATATTTCTTGGAGACTTTCTTCATTTCTTTTTAGTCTTAGTTCTCTCTCCTCCTCTGTCTGGAGCATTTCAACATGTCTATCTTTGATTATGCTGATTCGCTCCTCTCTGATGTCCACTTGAGCATACAGGGAATGTGTATTTTGTTTTGTCTCTTCCATTGTGTCTTTCATCTCTAATATTTCCAATTGATTCTTCTTTATAGTTTCAATCTCTTTCGTGAAATAGCTCCTGAACTTGTTGAATTGCTTCTCTATATTCTCTTTTACTTCATTGAGTTTTTTGATGATAGCTATTTTGAGTTCATTGTCGTTTAGTTTATGTATTTCTGTGTCCTCAGGACTGAGTTTGGGTGCTTGTCATTCTCTCTGTGGTCTGGAGATTTGATGTAGTGCCTGATGTTGGAAGGACAGGTCTTTCCCATTCTGGTATTATTCGGTTGTAGTTACAGCCTATCGCCACTCAATGGAGGTCAAGAGCCGCATATTCTGAGCCCTCTACCTTCAGCTGAGATGGCGGGTAAAGATCGGGGGAGGGGTGCTTTCTCCTGCGTGCAGTCCTGGGTTTCTAGATCAGCTCTCGCTATCTGGTCTCCTTGGGTTTTGGCTTGATGAGGTTCCCCCACACAAAAGCTCTTGGCCTGTTAGAAGGCTTCTCTCTAGGCTGCAAGGGCCCTACGGAGTCCTGGGTGACCCCACAGATGCTCGACCCCTCTCCCACTCCTTCCCTCATGGATCCTCCTGCGGCAGCAACTGCAGTCTTTAAGGGAGGGAGCAAAGTTCTCTCTTACCCTGTTCCAGCTCCTCCAAGTGGGGCTCCAGGCTCTCTACTGTCTGTTGTGTGGCTGCGTGTCTCTCCGAGGATTTTTGTGCTGTTAGGGTATTTTCTGTTGGAATATGGTTGCTCCTTTTTGTCATATGTTGCAGGGGAGAGAGTCCTGTGCCAGCTCATTCCGCCATGACACTGATGTCACTCTCTCCAAGTCTGGGAATTTTTTGCATTGCATCCTCTGGAAGCTGGATGGGGGGTGGTCTTTCTTAAGCAGCTCAGGTGCAGAGTTTCACAACCCAAGTGCTTCTGGGCAGATTTCTCTTTGTAGGGAGATACAGCCCTGAGTGTTCCACACACTCAGCACCTCCCTCCACTAAATGCCCTCGATGCTCTGCGCTGTGACCAGGACAACTGCAAACACTGCCGCATCATTTCCAAGTGTGCCCGAGAGGGAGGTCCACCCTGCTGAGATCCTCCGAAGAAAGTGAGAAAAATTCACAAGCTGCTCTCTCTCCTAACTGACCCCAGGGAGTCATCCACCTGATCTGGAACCTCAAGAGGTCTTGGTGGATGTGAAGCAGGAGAGACCTGGGGCAGCCCCCGCCCCGGGCCCCCATGTCAGGCAAACTGAACACATATGAGGAGCAGTCACTGTAGTGGTGTGGCCTCGTCCTCCCGTCCTGCTGCCTGACGCATCAGCACCCAGGGCGGTTCCTCCTGATTAAGCTTTTTGGGCAGTCTCATTTAAAAGCACATGCCGTAAAAAAATACCAATTGCCAATGTCTCGCTGAAGACAAATTTTCCAGCTTTCTTGTGGCACAGCTAGTTGAGTAGCTGAGGGAGAGAGACCTGGAGAAATGCCTCGCTTTACAATTCTCGGCTCCAAATCCATTTCTGCAGTGGGATGGAAATCTTATTCTGATTGTGGGCCACTATATGCCTTACTGTTCTGCTTGTGCTGAGCCAAGAGATCCTCTGTAGAATATACTAGCAAATCTCTGCAAGAAAGTTATTTTATGAATCCAAGGGAGACAAGGTTTTGGACTTGAAAACATTGCTGTCCCGGCATGAATCGAGGGTAGCTTAGAATAAGACGCATCAGAATGGAAATGGCTGGCAGCATTTCCCTAGAGTATTTCTTTTATTTTTTTTAAGTTTTTAAAATTGGAGGCCAACATTTAAAATGGTGAAATTTCAAGCCAGCCCTGACAGCCTAGTGGGTAAGTATGCTCCACTTTGGCGGCCCAGGTTCAGTGCCCGGTCGTGGAATCATACCGCTCATCCATCATTAGCCATGCTTGGGTGGCAGCTCACATAGAAGGACTTACAACTAGAATATACAGCTATGTACTGGAGCTTTAGGGAGGGGAGAAAAAAAGAGGAAGATTGGCAAGAGATGTTAGCTCAGGGCGAATCTTTCCCAGCCAAAAAACAAAATGGTGAACTTTCTCACAAAACTCAGTGTCAAAAGTTTGGAGAAAACCAGAAGTAAGACCAATGAGTCATTGAAGTAGTAATTAGTAAAAGTTTATTGTGCACACATCAAAAAGACAGTTTGCAAACCGGGAGCAATCAAAGCCAAACATGGAATGAGGTCAGGGTTACTTTGCTATAAAGCAGCTTGCCTCGTGTGGGAGCCAAGACTTCTTGTTCTTCATGGGGATCGGTCACAATATTAGAATTTTATTAAATGAATGGGGAGGGGTGTCAGTGGTTACCTGGTATCAATTTTGGGCAATCGTTTGAATTTCACTTATGATTTTCAGAGGCGTAAGCAAGAAGGGACCCAGGTCAAGCGAGCCTTGCTTGTCTTGCAAAACAAGATAAGCTTTGTTTGCATAACTAAACTGGTTTTGTCTGCTCAAGGAATTTTCAAGTCTGGTCTCAGTTTGTGTTTGATTTCAACTCTGGATTTCTGGAATCTCTCGAAAAATGGTAAGGCCTAACAATGCCAGGCTGGCGTACTGGCATGGCCACAGCCCGAGCACAGAGCAAAGGTCTAGAGTGGGCGTGGCTGATCATGAGGCTGCCCGTGTGTGGTGTCTGTGGGCCCCTGGTGGCACTGAAGTCTACGAGATCTTCCCACACCACCTGGGTGCTGGGCGGGATTAATGAGAATCTAAACCCAGGCCAGCCTGGAGTTTCTCAAGAATGGATCCTACACACGGGGAACAAGTGTGAGTCAGGTAGGGTCAGAAAGCTGGGGCTCCTGTTGGTGATACTTAAGTCGTTGACCAGTAGGTGAGTGATAGGGCTCTATGGTCACAGCCTGACCCCCAAGTTGGCATTGAGTTGGGGGAATAGCAGCTACCACTTGCTGAGCCGATGCGCCAGGCACTGAGGGCTTTGTGTCTATGGCCTCATTTAAGCCTCACGCCTTAACCGCACCTGCTCAGGCTTCAGAAAGGGAAGTTAGTGGAAGAAATTAGGGCTAAAGGATGCTAGACACAGGTGTTTTTGGCTCTGCTGGGGTGAGGAGTACAAACTGTGTCCCTTGATTCTTTTCAGATACCGCAAGTTGCCCCAGCATAAGTCTCCAGTGCCGATAAGAGACTGCCTTGCAGCCACCATCCGCTTCCTGAAGTCTCTGAAGACGTACGGAGTGGACCCAGCCCGGGTGGTGGTCTGTGGCGAGAGTGCAGGAGGGGCAGCAGCAGCATTCATTTGTCAGAATCTTGTGGACAGTCCCGATCTCCCCAAGATCCGTGCGCAGATCCTGATCTACCCCACCCTCCAGTGCCTGGATTTCCAATCCCCCTCCTACCAGCAGAACAAGAATATCCCACTGCTCAGTCTGAGTTTCCTCTTCTACTGTTTGTGTAGTTACCTGGACATCAGCCCCTCCTGGAAAAGCACTGTCTTGAAAGGGGCCCACTTGCCTGCCGAGGTCTGGGAAAAGTACAGAAAGTGGATAGGGGTAGAGAACATACCTGAGAGGTTTAAGAAGAGAGGCTATCGGTGGATGCCCCGTGAGCCCCTGAATGAAGATGCCTATCAGGAGGCAAAGTTCATGCTGGATTTAGCAAACTCGCCGCTGCTTGCAGAAGATGAAGTGGTGTTTCGACTCCCCGAAGCTTGCATCGTGAGTTGTGAGTATGACCTTCTCCGGGACCATTCGCTGTTGTACAAGAAGAGGCTGGAAGACCTGAGAGTCCCAGTGACTTGGCACCACATGGAGGACGGTTTTCACGGAGTGTTTGCCACCTTTGATATGGGCTTCTTGTCTTTTCCCTGCTCCTCGAGGATTATGAACGCTGTGGTCCATTTTCTAAAGGGGTTGTGACCATCTTTCCTTCTGGCTGCAGTTACAGGAGTGTGGGTTCTGCCATCATCTGGTTCCCCACGGGGCTTTATGTTGCTGACGTAGTGAGCTGAGTGGGGGTCGGGAGGGTGTCGAGTTTGCTATCTCCTTCTTGCTCTAGATTCTAGAATCGCAGAATGCATGTTTCTGATGTCTAATGGGAGACAGATTTGGGGGGAAGGGAGTGGCTCTCTGTCCGTGTCCACCGTTAGGAAAATCTGAGCTGACAATCTGCAGTGGCCATTTGCAACAGTGAATGAGCATGTAAGGGCTGCCCACGGCCTCCTGAGGGACAGTTCAGACTGCCCTTGCGAGTCCAGGCTCTGGTATACGGGAGTACCCACTTGACTGGCCTTGGAAGAGCCCAGGGCCGGCGTGTGCAATCTCATGGGCCTTTTCCAGTCTGGCTAGAGGGAAGGACTCTGAGGTTCTAGACTGCGGGGTGGAGGTGAAGAAACTGGCTTCCCCCCTCTGGGTACAAGGTGACACTTTCCCTGCTGTTCCTCAGCCTCTGAGCTCAGTCTTGATAGCCAGGCTGGAAGAGTTAGGACAGAATCAATAGCTTTTTCATGGTGGTTGGCATGCTGAGCAGACCAGAGCTGCCTGACTCGGGGAGCTGTGGAGCTCTTCGGGTCAAATTTAGGCTTCCAACCGAGGGCCTGGAAGCAAATTTAGAAGCGTCAGAAGAGGAGAGTTGGGAGGAAAGCTGAGTTCCAAGTCAGAGACCCATGAAGACTGAGTCTGACAAACTCAACTGTGTCCACAGTGGGAAATGAAGGGAGGGCCAAAGTTACTGAAGATGTGTTAGTGAGAGCTATTTATGTTTTAAGACACAGAATCAACTCAAATTGACCTAAATCAAAAAGAGAATGTATTGGCCGCTGTAGCTACAAATTCCCAGCATAAAGCAGACAGAGTTTGATCCAGGACCTCAGCGTGACCAGCTGCCTTGCCATCTTTCCTCGCTCTGTGCTCCTCTGTGTGCACCTCACTTTCACCTCTGCGGATGATGGCCCGAGCAGCTCCATGCTTACGTTCTCTCAGAGTCAAGCCCATTATTATGGACTTGCCCCCTTCTCAGCATTTCCAGCAGAAATTGCATTGTAACTTGATGGTACTATGGACTTTCTGAGTCTTGTGTCCAGCTGCCATAACCAAAGGAATAGAATGTCCTGACTGACCAGGCCAAGTCCCATGCCACCCTTGGAGTGGAGGGTGCTTGCCCAGAATGTGGGGGAGGGAGTACTTCCCTCATGTCAGTGCTTACACTGCTGCAGGAGACACCAATGCTTACTCCACTGCGTGGCCATCGCACGTCCTCTAGCATAGAAGCCAAGTTGAATCCTGAGTCACGGTACTTGGAAGTGGCAAGAGATGTCAAGGACTGCTGGGCAAGTTGACCACCTGCCCCTTAGGAATAAAAATTCCTTTGAAAGGAATGGCCCAGCCTTCCATGCTGGTCCCACCTGGTCTTCAGGAGGGCTGCTCCTGGACGGCCAGCAGCTTTTATAGGCCAAGACGCAAGTCCACTGCACAAAGGGCCCACGTGCCCTTAACTGGCTTTCAGTTGAATGCTCGCGCAGAAACGTAGGACAGAGAGGAATCCTGGAGGGTGGCTTCTCGATCCGTTCACAGTAGACCGCCAGGTGGCTCTGTTGGAGAAATAGAAACAGCTCAGTGAAAGCACAGAGTTTGGTGGCCACTCAGCCCTTGGGGAGGATTGGAGGCTGAGGACCACGGTCCCTTCTGAGATAGGCCTCTGAGTTGAGTCTGGGGAGGCTCCCTTCCTGGAGCGTGGCTTTGGTGTTTCATCCCTGCCTCTGGAGATGGGTGGAGGGACGTGAGCTGACCTTCTGGAAAGCTGAGTGATCAGCTCTTCTACTGTAGGGTGGCAAGGTGGGTAAGTCACTGGAGGACCATGCCCAGTGGAGATGAGCGGGTGACACGTTAGGGGCAGGAAGCACCTCTGGATGGGTTCATTTCTAAGGCTGCTTCCTTCTGCAGATTGTGGGAGAGATGAAGCACTTTCACCTTCACTGGCTGGTTGGGTTGGTTGATTTGGGGACCAAGTCCTCCACTCCTCTCCTTTGCCGCCTCATCACTCTTCTTCCTGCAACTCATTCTTGGGGCTCAGGGAATGGAAAAAGCATAGGAATGAATGTTCACTGAGAGCCAACTACAGGCCAGGCACTGTTCTTGGCCGTATGAATTTGCCACCTTGTGTGTTCTTCACATGAATTCCGCAACGTGGGTATTCTCAAGCCCATTTTACAGATGAGGAAATTGAGGCCCAGAGAGATTAATAACAACACTCATTTCTTGTCTCTTTCCACTCAGGCTCAGGCCCAGCAGATTGCATAGCTCGTCCACGTGGTTGGCCAGGTGCTGTGCACTGCAACCTTGATCTGTTTCACAACAGCCTGTTTCTGCCATGCACCTTGGCCCATTAGCCCATAATTGCAGCTGTTTTCTTTCCTGTGTTTCAGGATTAAAATGAAAGACACACCTTAGCCACATGACCTTATCTGAGTCGCTGACATCCAGCTAGGTGCCAGCTGCTGTCTGATCTGAATCAGGTGGATGGAATCAAGGATTTCTGCCATCGCGTTTTCTTTGCTTTCTTGACTGTCATTTGCGTTCTCTAGTTCTGAATGACTTTAGGATTGGTCACTGTAGGCCCCTCCTGGGATGCACAGCTGCTGGGCCCGGCTAACACCACTCAGGGGAGATGGACACCCACACACGTTTAAGCCCAGACACTCTGGGAATATTTACTCAGTAAATTCCCGGGACTTCCCTGGTAAGATCTGCCAGTTAGATCAGGGCAAGTGCCATCTGATAAAGGACAACAAGTTGCATCTCAAACTGCTTTCTTTGGTCAGTAGGCCATTGAGGACAAGTTTTTAGGGGGAAGTTGCAAAAGTGGCAAATTTGTCTAGGCTGGTCTTCGCCCTACATCCTTTTGGTGTTTCTCTCAGCTCCTCCTTCCCCCTCCCTGCCCAGGACCTCCCTGCCTTTCTGACCCCAAGCTTTGTCTCCCTCTCCCCCTGCACTCTCTGCTCCAGAGTGACCACGTGCTCTCTCCTCTTAACCCTGGGCTGGTGTGGGCTCCTATAGGTCAGGCTCTGCTGCAATGACAGAGCCCCGCAGTCTCAGTGGCTCATGACCGCAGAGGTCTATTTCTCGCTCACGCTCCACATTACACGGCCCTCGCAGGCCGCTACAGCTCTGCTCCCCGTACGTCTACTCTGGAATCCAGGCCAAGAAAACAGCCTCTATTTGCACGACCTCCAGTCTCTTGTGGCAGAGGGAAAAGGACACGGCGAGTCACACACTGGCTCCCCAAGCCTCTGCTCGGAAGTGGTGCTCATTGCTTCTGCTCACCTGTCTTTGGCGAGAGCGAATCACATGGCCAAGCCCGACACTGATGGGCCAGAGATGAAGAACCCTCTCCAGAGAGGGGCAGCAGCCCTTTGTGGACAATATTACCGCTTAGCACACTCTCAATCATAGTATTTCCATTTCCATTCTACCTTTTTAAAAATTAATCTTAAATTATATGTGATCCACAAATATATTCTCCTTTTAAACAAAACCTTAAAATACTAGAGATAAGACTAAAATCCCTTCGGACCACACTCCCTGAACTCTGTTCCCTTTTAGCTGGATGTTTCCACTTTCCACTGTTTCTTTTTTTGGGGGGGCGGGATGTGAGGTCTTCCAAACCTTAAAGCCTGTTTCTATGCTTTTATATACGAATATGTATCCATAGAAAATATAGAGTATTATTTTCTGGGATGACTTTGCTGTATGTTGATACATAAAAGATATTATTCTATACATGTTGTGCTACTTGAATCTTTTCTTTTCTTTTTTTGCTGAGGAAGATTCTCCCTGAGCTAACATCCATTGTCAATCTTCCCCTTTTTTCTGCTTGAGGAAGATTAGCCCTGAGCTAACATCTGTGCCAATCTTCCTCTATTTAGTAAGTGGGTTGCCACCATGGCATGGCTGATGAGCAGTGTAGGTCCGTGCCCGGGATCTGAACCTGCGAACCGGGCCACTGAAGCGGAGCACGTGAACTTAACCACTATGTCACTGGGCTGGGCCCCCTACTTGAGTTTTTTCACTCAACCACATATCTTAGAAATCTAGCCTAGTAAACTATGTAGATTTATCTGACTCTTTTTAGCTCCTGTGCACTATTCCATGGGATGGTTATATTACAGTTCTTACCCGTTCCCTAGGGGTGGACATATTTGGTCTCTTTCCCGTTTTGCTTAGACATACAAATCCGTGGTGAACGTTTCTGCACACACCCCTTCTGCATGTGTGATTCTCTGTGATGGATTCAAGAAGGAGGACTGTTGGCTGGACACATTTTAAACGTTGACGGATGCTTCCCAAATGCCTGTCCCATTCCCTTTTTATCCCAGCAGATCTCAGCTGAGAGGGAAAGAGTGGAAACCACCAATCCCAAAAGCAATTTGTAACCGCTCACCTCAAAGGCAAAAAGAAGATTGGTTGGCTTGACGATGGGTGGGGGGCACTGAGTTGGTGTGGCATGTCTAGATTATAAAAGGAAGGTTCCTTCACTGAAACGAACCTCTACAAAGGTCAGTTGAGGAGTCAAGGAGGCTGCAAGATTGTTGGTTTGTTGCCTTTCACGTCTTTACCTCTAGCTAACCAAGCGAAGGATGCCAGAGTCAGTAGATTGGCTCCTCATCCCACAGGGCTGCGAAGGCTTGGAACAGCCCAGCCCCAACCTTGCAACTGGTTGTCTTGCAAATTGTTGCACCAGGTTGAATCAAACAAGGCAATGCCTGGGATTCCATTTCAAAGTGTTTCTATTCATAGGAAAACCCCTCAGGGTCCCCCTCCAGGACCCTGAAACTACTCCCTGCTTACGGAGGACGTGTGTCATCGACGTGTGTCATCGTTAAAGGACAGGACAGTTTTAATTTTAAGTTGAAGAGACACATCCTGGGTTCGTTGCTGCTGCATTCACAGGGCCTCTCGCAGGAGGCAGAGTGACGAAGGATGTGTGGTCTGGAGCCGATCACATCCTGGTCGCTCCATTTTCTTGCCTTGCCAGGGGGATAACCTTATCTAGAGCACGGGGCTGTTGATGGAGAGCATGCTGAGTTGGTGTCAGTCGTGCTTACGTGTCTGCTGGGCCTCAGGCACGCCTGTGGTCCTTCACACTCATAGCAAAGCCCTTGGCGGGGACAACAAGTTGCTTTTGTGCTCCGGAATCCTCTATTCAAAGAGATTCTAGAATTTCTCTCCTTGGGATATCTCTCTGCCCCAGTTTCCCAGATATTCTCCTCCAATATAGGGAAAGGAATGGATTTTGTTACTGAAATAAACTTGGTTTTGGACCAAAGGGAGGAGAGGATTGAACATTTCTTGACCCCTTCTATGTGACAGGTATTTTGTGAAGTGCTTTCTAGGTGACATCTCACTGAATCCTCATAATCTTATGAAGTACATGACGTTTACTCCCAGTTCATAGATCAGGAACTCAAGGTTGACTTTGGCCAAGTTCCTTGGCCCGGTGAGGGTGGAACTGAAAGTAGAAGTTAAGCGTGTCTGAGTTCCAAGTCCACCACCCACCACCGTTGGGCTCTCTGTGCAATAACCCGAAGCTGGTTGGCCACGTTCAAGAAGTGTTTCTAGGCCATGCTGGCCCAGGAGGGGAGAAGTCAACTCATCATTCACCCCTCAGGTCCCGTCTTGGGCACCACCTTCTCGGGAGAGCCTCCTAACCCCCAGTAGGGTTGGGCCCTTCTCCCAGGGGTTCGCGGAGCTCACTGCTGTTCCTCCAGTGAGGTCCTGAGCACACAGTGTTGTGATTACACTGTGACCCCTGAACTGGATTACAGTGATCCCCAATTTCTAACGTCCACGGGTGATTGCCAAAGCAAATGGCAGTCGTCTCTGGAGGAAGATAATAGCATCCCAGACCTTCCATTTGTCGACAAAAATAATCCATAACCAATCTATAAATGAAAATTTGGGAGAGTTTATTCTGAGCTAAAATCTGAGGACCATGGCCCGGGGCCTTTCTTCCTGAAGGAAGAAAGGGCACCGAAGAAGTGGGGCACACAGAGTGGTTATATATCCCCAAAGAGGATGTTTCACATAGGATTGAAATGTCCCTCTTACAATAGTCACAAGATTGCCCTGTCGGCTCGGCGTTTGATGGACACAGCAGGTAGTGGGTGTGCTATTTCGGGCTGGTTGGTCACAGGTGAGTGCAGCAATCAGTTCCTAGCCTAAGGAAAGATGCTTATCCTTAAAGAAATGCTAATGTAGGGGAAGTTGCACCTTTATCTTAAAGCCATTTGTTCTTGCCATAGGAAATGTTTAAAGCAGGTATACAATGCGTGTTCCACGGCCACAGTCAGGCCCTTTTGGGAAAAACAAAGTCAGGCCGAATTAGGTTTACACCAAATGGCTTCCTCATGTACTCCAATATATCCTATTGCTTGCCATTTCTATTTGTCACACAATTTTTGCAAATAATGTAAATAGCAGGCCCATAAGAATAGAAGAGCTGGCAACAAGAACCCACAGAAACAACAGTTAAACAACAAAAAAGGAGCCACAGACTGTAAAACAGCTCGGCTCACTATGTCAAAGGAGACAAAATTGAATCAAATATATTTATAAACCTACAATATAATATATAAATGTATAGATTTAGAAATCTGGAAATTTGGAAACTTGGAAGGCAAAAGGTGGTGATCTGAAAACTCAGAGGTAAAATAATTAGGAACTGTAAAAAGTGACATGAAGTGTATGCATACACATATATGAAGCAAACAGACATTTTAGAACTGAAAAGTGCAAGAAATCAAATAAAAATTCAACGGATGGGTTTAACTTCACGTGAGACACACTTGAGAGAGAATATGTGAACTGGGCTGTGGGCCAGAGGACACTCTTCAAAATGCAGCACGAAGAGACAAAAGGATGAAAAATCCAGAACAGGGGCCAGGAGGCTCTGAGGATTCAGGGAGAAGCCACAGCAAATATGTACCAGTGTCCCAGAAAGAAAGGGGGAAGGAAGGAGGCAGAAGCCATACGTGAACACGGAACGGTGGGGAACTTTCTGAAACAACTGCAAGATGAGCTGTCAAAAAGTATTCCATATTGTTTTGTCTTTTCACATCTTTTTAATATCTTTTGGGCAAAATCTCTAAAGTATAAATTATTTACACAATAGAGGTGATCAGCAATCCACATTTTGGCTCTTTGAAAAGACTGAAACAATTGATAAATATCTGGCGAGACTAATAAAGAAAAAAAAGAAAAAGCACAAATAGTAGATACCAGGAGTAAGAAGGGACTTCAGTGCAGATGCCAGAGAAATTAAACAGATGATGAGAGAACATATGAGCAACGTGTGCCCCACAGTTGAAAATTTAGATGCAATGTGTAAATTCCCAGAAAAATACCACTTACCGATCTGACACAAAAGGAAGGAGAGCATCTGATTAGTTTTGTAACTAATGAAAGATACTGAATCTAAAATGAAAAACCTTCCAACAAAACAAAACAGAACAGAAATCTCCTGGCCCAGATGTCTTGACTTGCTTACTATTTAAGGAAGAAATAACATTAATTTTGCATAAACTGACCCAGAGAATATAAAAAGTGGGCATGCTCTTTCTGGGAGGCTGGCTTAGTAATAAACTTGCACGAGGACAGTGGAAATGGAAATTACAGGTTATGCAAATCTCATTCATGGATACAGAGGCAAAAAAATTTCTAAAAAATATTTAACAGGGGGCCGGCCCAGTGGCAGTTAAGTTCACAAGTTCCGCTTCAGTGGCCCCGGGTTCACTGGTTTGGATCCTGGGTGCGGACCTATGCACCGCTTGGCAGCCATGCTGTGGCAGGTGTCCCACATATAAAGTCGAGGAAGATGGGCACGGATGTTAGCTCAGGGCCAGTCTTCCTCAGCAAAAAGAGGAGGATTGGCAGCAGGTGTTCGCTCAGGGCCAATCTTCCTCAAAAATAAAAAGAAAAAAGAAAAAGAAAAAAAATACTTAGCAAACTGAATTCAGCAATAGACAAAAAGGATACTATATCATGACCAAGTTGGGTTTATACAGGAAATGCAAGGGCAGTTTAACACTGCAGAATTAATCTATATCGATGAATTTATCACATTAATAGATTCAATGAGAGAAACTGTGACTATCTTGATAGATGCAAAAACTTAAACATTCATTTATGAAAAAACTCTCAGCAAATCTAAAATGGGAGGAAACTTCTTTAATCCAATAAACAACATCTACAAAAAATACGTGTTGCAAACATCATGTTTCATGGTGAAACATGAAACTTTTCTCCTTTGATATCAGGAATAGGCTAAGAGTTATTCACTATCCTTCTTATTCAGCATTGTATTGGTGGGCCCTGCTGATGCACAAAGACAAGCCCAGAACCAAGGAGGATTAAAAAGGAGGAAATGAAATAGTTATTATTTGCAGAGGCTAGGCTCCTGCATGTGGATTCTCAAGGAAACTATGGAGAAATTATTAGAATTAATAAGAGTTAACAAGGTTGATGGCTATAAAGTTACTGTTTTTAAAAAATCAATTGCATTTTTTTTTTAAGATTGGCACCTGAGCTAACAACTGTTGCCAATTTTCCTCTGCTTTTTCTTCTCCAAAGCCCCCCAGTACATAGTTGTATATTTTTAGTTGTGGGTCCTTCTAGTTGTGGCATGTGGGACGCCGCCTCAGCATGGCCTGATGAGCGGTGCCGTGTCCGCGCCCAGGATCCAAACTGGTGAAACCCTGGGCCGCCGATTGGGAGCGCGAACTTAACCACTCGGCCACGGGGCCAGCCCCTCAATTGCATTTTAATATGTATGCAAGAATCAGTTAGAAAAGGAAATAAAAAATAATCCATTTAAGCAGCATAGAATATAAAATACACAGGAACAGACAGTACTGAGAGACTGAAAAGACAACTCACCAAATGAGAGACAATGTTTGTGAACCTTATGTTTGGTAAGGAGTTAATATCCAGAATACAAAAAGAATTCCTACAACTCAACCACAAACAAAACCAAACAACCCAATTAAAAATGGGCAAAGGACTTGACGTTTCTCTAAAGAAGATTTACAAATGGCCAAGAAGCATGTGAATAGATGCTCAACACTGGGGCCACCGGGTGGCGGTGGCATCTGAGTTGAGTTCCAGGCTCCACTTGGGCAGCCCAGGGGTCGCTGGTTTGGATCCTGGCACGGACATGGGCATTGCTTGTCAAGCCATGCTGTGGCAGGTGTCCTACGTATGAAGTAGAGGAAGATGGCACGGATGCTAGCTCAGGGCCAAAGCAATCTTCGTCAGCAAAAAGAGGAGGATTGACAGCAGATGTTGGTTCTGGGCTAATCTTCCTCAAAAATAAAAAGATGCTCAACGTCATTAGCCATTAGGGATGCGCAAATCAGAGCCACAATGAGATATCACCTCACATCCATTAGGATGGGCTACTATGAGAAATGAAAAATAGCAATTGTCGGCAAAGATATGGAGAAATGAGAGCCCTTGTGCATTGCTGGTGGGAATGTAAAATGGTGTGGACACGGTGGAAAACAGTTTCGTGGTGCCAATTCCACTCTTAGGTGTATATTCAAAAGATCAGAAGGGGAAACTCAGATACGTGTGTACCAATGGTCATAGCGTTATTCACAGCAGCTAAAAGGTGGAAAGCACCCAAATGTCTGTCAACAGGTGATGGACAGACAAAGTGTGGTATATACACACAATGGGATATTATTATTCAGCCATTAATCATCCTGAAAAAGCAGTTTCAGAATGAAATTTTGACACATGGCACAACATGGACAAACCTTGAAAACACTAGGCGAAGTGTCATAAGCCAGATACAAAAAGACAAATATAATAGCCACTTATATGAGGTCCCTAAAACAGGTAAATTCATAGAGATAGAAAATAGAAGAGAGGTTTCCAGGGCCTAAGGAAAGAAGGAATGGGGACCTATTGCTTAATGAGTACAGAGTTTCTGCTGGGGCTGATGAAAAATTCTTCGGTGTGGAGTAACACAAACACTCATACACCAGTGACTGAGGGATGTAAACTGATACATTGAAAAAGAGTTTGATGTTATCCAGCGAAGCTGAGGACTCCCATAGCCTACGACCCAGCAATCGTCGGTGTATATCCTAGAGCAAAGGTTTTCAAGGCGAGATCCACAGACCGCCGGAGCTCTCCAAGCTCCTTTGAGGGAGTCTGCAAGGTCAAAACCATTTTCTTAATAATACTAAGCTATTATTGGCCCTTTGTTACAGTGTTGACATTTGCACTGATGGTGCAAAAGCAATGGGGGGTAAAACTGCTGGTTGCTGTGAGTGAGTCAAGACCGTGCCGTTAAATGTAGCAGTAGCTGTTGTATTCTCCATCGCCACCCGCTCGCAGGAAAGAAAATGCTAGTTTCACTGAACAGCGACCCTGATGAAGAAGTAAACATTATTAATTTTATTAACTCTTGGCCTTCGATCAGATGTCTCTTTAACAGGCTGTGATGAAACAGGAAGGGGATGTGGTAACGCTCTGCTGTTGCAAACCCAAGAGCAACAGTTCCCTTGAGAAAGAGTGCTGTGTGCACCGCTGTGTGAGTTGTGAGCAGAATTACTGAGCTTTTTTAAAAAATGAAACACCATTTTTAGTTGAAAAAACGACTGGCGGACAAACTATGATTGTTCCAATTGGAATATGTGGCAGATGTTTTGTTGAAAATGAGTGAAGTCTGTCACTTCAAGGATAACCATGGACAGTAGTCGTTGCCGATGACAAAACTTTGAGCATTCGAACTAAAGTCAGGATTTTGGAAAACTCACATTCACTCCTGTGAGCTCATTGACTTCCTAACACTTCAATGCTTTTCTGGTGTGATCAGTAGCGATATTAGCAAATGTGATTTTTTTGATATTGTGTAATGAAATATGTCAACTTTTGGAAGATGTGCACAACGCAGGATACCAATATTTTCCAAATGACCACCATGATGTTACAAACCGTGAAGAGACAAAAGATCTATTGAAAGCACAGATCAGTCAGTGGGTTTTAACGTAACAGCTCAAAGAGCTCACTGAATAGTTTGAGAGTCCACATTGCAACTAACCTTTAAGAAGCTACCACTTGCTGCGTTGTGGTGTGGGATCAAAGAATATCCACATCCGGCTGCAGAGGCTGTTACAATGCTTCTCTCTCTTGTAAGTGCACATCTTTGTGAGATTGGATTTTCTCCTTTAAACAGAACAACACACCACCTTAGGTCGCATGCAGGAGCAGTGTGAGCATCCAGTTTCTGCTATTAGGCCGGACACTAATGAGATTTGTAAAAACATAAAAACTCTTCTCACTACATTTGTTATTTTGGAAATAGAGTTGATTTCCATAAAAACTTAATTAGGTTAACATGCAATAAGTTACATGCAATGAGTTTGCTATTCTAAAATATTAAAATATTAATTAGTTTAAATTTATATTTAATTAATTAAAATTTGTTTGGAAAATAGAATTATATTTCATAAAAATTGAATTATGTTATGCAATGAGCTTATTTTGCAATTATTAAATATTAATAAATATATGAATATGGATATAATTCATATTAATAAGTAAATTTTAAAATTTTTTCACTTTTAATTTCTAATATGATAAATATTGATGAATATGACCTGTGGAATGCTAATAAGTTGGCTCTCTAAAAAAACCGAAACAAACACCCTGATATGGAGCATTTGCCAATTCTGTGGTGTGACTATTCTTGCAATGACTGGTTCCAATCTGCCAGTGTGACTTGAAAGAAGGTGATGTTGGGAGGAGATGAGCAAAACTGGCTCTCATGAGCTGGTACGACCTGGCTCCAGGACCACTAACATAATCCACATTTTGAAAAGCCCTTTGGGTCTTCAATAATTTTTAAGAAACTGAAAAGTTTGAGAACTACTGCCCTGGAGAAATGGCTATATGTGGGTGGGCACCAGGAGACATGGACCGTGTAGAAAAAGTCCTAGCAACTATGGCTTCATGTAACACGAGTGAATCTTAAAAACAGCAACTATTTTGAGGAAAAGTAACCAGACTGAAATGAATACATGCTATAGGATTCCATTTATACAAAGTCCATCAACAAGCAGAACTGAGCACTAGTGTTTAAGAACGCACAGCCTTTGGTGCTGAGAATATACAGAGAAGCAAGAAAGTGGTTAGAAGTCAGGTTGAAGGGAAAAGACCGAAGTGGGGCACTCCTGGGGTGCTGGCAGCGTTCTACTTCTTGACCTACGTGCTGGCTTTGTGGGGGTTTGCTTCACTGGAATTCATTTGTCTGTATGTTATTTATTTTTAATATACTTTTTCATGTTTGTGTTGCATTTTACAATAAAATGTTTTTTTCAGAATGGAATTATACAGAACATGTGGATCCCCTGCTCTTTGATTGGAAGGCCAGCCCCTCTTCTTGGCTCCAGCCCTGCTCAGACTGAGGTCCTTGCCAAATAGAGATTTGCTCTGCTCTGTGGTGCATCTTCCATGTTCTTTCCCTGCCACATGGTTAGTTTCAAGATGGAATATACCGTTTCCTGAAGTTGGTCTATTTTTGTTTAAAGGCCACTGGAAAACTCTTTCTCTGAATTGCCTGTTTGCAATCGACTGTCTTCATTAGAGGCAAGCAGGACCGCACGGTTCTGCTCCTGAACTTCACCGTGGGTCCAGGCATCTCCCTATGTCAGCATTCTTTAACGGCTACAGAGTATTTCATTACATGGATGTGCCACAATTTATTGAAGCAGCCCTCTGTTGATAGATATTTAGGTGGGTCCTGATGTTTTTTGTTTAATGAGTAAACAAGGTAATGGCCTTTATCCCATTGGACTGAGCTCTGTGGGGATGGGACCCTGGTCCACTCACTGATGCACTGCAGCCCCAGCTCAGTGCCCAAGACATAGCAAGTGCTCAGTAAAGTGATTGTGGAATGAATGAATGAAGACTAACCACATGAGGCCTATTGTATCCGTTCAAGCCTTGGTGGAAGCCCAAGGCAAAGAGGCAGCCAGGCAGTGAGTGGAACCCAGTGCTCTAGGCCTGGATCAGAGTGGATTCAAATCCCAGCTCTCGCACGTGTGACTTTGAACAGCTACTTAATCTCTCTTTGCCTCAGTGTCCTCATCGGTAAAATGGGTACAATAATGGCACCTGCTTCAAAGGGCTGCTGTGAGGATTAAATGACTGAGTACATGCAAAGAATGTCTCTGCATGGGCCTGGCACATCAGTACTCGTTAAGTAGCAGTAGAACGCCAGCATCTTGACTCACCCTAGTTGTAAAAATGCAGCAAGGATGATGTCTCTCATGGGTGACAACACGGACACCAGGTCCTTCCGGCCCTTGCTTCTGTGGTGGTGGTGGTCGGTTTGATTTGCCTCTGTGGGGTCAACTTTGCTCCTGAAGAATCAGCTGCTCCCTGCAGGAGAATATTTATACTCAGAGTCTATCACCATGGAGACAGTCAACAGTAGGGAATCCAAGATCACGTCCCCTCTTCCTGGACACTGAAAGAGGACCCTCTGGGCCTTTTTATTGTGTGAAGTTGGCAGGGTGTCATCTTACTACTCACTCAGAAGGGTGGCTGGGAAGGAAAAAAAGGCATCCCAAACTTAGCAACTGCGTAACATCTCCTTATCCCCGAAACCTTAAACTGTGTCAAGTCAAAGAAACTCTGGGCCAATCCTTACCATGCAGCTGTTGACTGCAGTAAGTCCGCAGTCACTCTCGACTCCAAGCTGGAAGATCGAGACCAAGTATTCAACCAGAGTGCTCATTGGAAACTGGGTGGAAGAGAGGAGGAAGGTAAGGAGAGAGAGAAGGTGGACGGAGGGGCTCAGAGGGAAGAGCGGCAGGGAGAGGTAGGAGCGAGGTCATTACTACTTCTAAACCACGGGCCATAGATGATTGCACGTTAAGAACGCGGCATCAGGATCTCTGTGTTCTACATAGGGGAGCCACATTCAAGCCGTCACCAAGGTCCCCACTATATCTTGAAAACACAATAGCAGAAGCGCCAATATAGCTGTGCCTTGCAGTACGGTTTTCAGCAGAGTGTTTCTAGGCATCTGATGTTCCCTGCCCGTAATTCCTCTACGCCTTGTTTTGGAGAATGTCTGCTCTCCCTGGCCTGCCCTCCCCAGAATGTGCTAGCTACCAAGGCAGGCTTGACATTCCCTGCACTGATGTCCAGGAGTGAGCTGCTGCTCCTTGGCCCCCGTTCCACAGCCTTGCCCTGTCTGTGCATTTCAGTTTTTACTTTCAAAACAGAACCAGTGGGCGCTTAATATTCCCATGCTCTTTAAAAGCCATCACGAAATATCTGCCTGTTGTGGCCTACTTGGAACTGAATGTCTTCATTTGTGGTGATCAAGACTGAGCCACTTAACTTTCTGCAGAAACACCTAGACATCCTCATGTCTGCTTGGGAAAAGGGCAAGGAAAAGAGGGTGATATAGAACTGGTAGCTTTGATGTAAATGTGGGGACAGTTGGTGGTGACTTCTGAGAACTGGAATAGGCAGTTTTCATGGAGGACATTAGCATTTTACAGCTCTTCTGGCCCAATAGGCCTTGTGGCCATTGTTAGCTCTAAGTGTAGCTGGCCTGGTTTAGGGAGCAGGTGTGTTTGAGGGAAGTTCCAAGGGCAAGAAGGACAGGCTGAGTGATCCCTCCAGGCTCCTGTGGGCGAGGCAGCACCCAGGGATGTTATGAACCCGTTCTATATCAAGAGGAGATGGCATAGAGAGAGCGAAGTTGGAGTGATACCAGAAAGATGTCAGACTAAGAAGCTCCAGGTCCTTGTTCTCTCAGAAACACTTAAAAAAAATAACTAGCTAAAATAACTGTATAGGAGCTCTGTAAACAGTCAAAGGTCTACAGCAACCAATTTAGAAAAAGCCACATTCAAAATGGTAGGAATTCCATGGTATTTTTACTCACTCTTTTCCCGTTCCTTCCTCAGCACAGCATGGGGCATTGTGGGGGAAGCAGTGGCCCAGCTTCCACTTCCCTCCCTGGAAACTAGAAGGAATGGAGCAATATTCTAACCTGTCTGGGGGCTACCTGAGGGATTTGCCTCTGTTTTGTCCAGCTCAGAGCTCAGATGGGGAAAAGCAGCAGAGTCCACATTTCAAGCTTGGCAAAGCTGTGGAAAGCAGCAGTGATCACAGCCAGTGAAGCAGCCAGGGGACCTGCAAATGTCCGGGGGAAGAGATTCCAGGTAGAGGAACACGACAGAACATCTATGGCCCTAAGAGGAAGCAGGGGAGAGACACTTTGGAAAATGAAGGCATTTTAAAGTAGCCATGTATACTGAGGAAATAAAAAGGCACACACACACACACACACACACACACACACAGGCCCAGGCAAGATGTGTGCTCAGAAAAGTCCTGAGAAGAACTGAAGCCTTCACGCTAGGCTGATTCCAAGGCTCCAATCATGCCTTGCTTGTTAGTGGAGATTTTCCCTCAGGTGGAGCCCGTCTGCAGAGACTAGGAGAGGTGGCTGTTTTTCCAAAAGCCCAATTTTCAACATCCACAAAAATCACAAAGCATACAAAGAAACAGGAAAACACAGCCCACTCAGAGGAAGAAAATAAACCAGTAAGAATGGTCCCTGAAGGAACACAGGCATCGGAAATACTAGACAAAAACTCTAAAACAGCTATCTTAAATATGCTCAAAGAGCGAAAGGAAAATGCGGACAAAGACCTAAAGGAAATCAGGAAAATGATCTATGAACAAAATAAGAATATCAATAAAAGACAGGAATTATTAAAAGGAATCAAATGGAAGTTATGGAGCTGAAAAATACAATAATTAAGTTGAAAGAATGCACTAGAGGTGTTGAACAGTGGACTTGAATAGGCAGAAAAAAGAATCAGAGAACTTGAAGACAGATCTCTTGAAATTGTTGAGTCTGAGTAGCAAAAAAAAAAAAAAAAAAAAAAAGGGAATGGAGTCTAAGGACTAGTGGGGCACCATCAAGCAGGCCAATATACACATTGTGGGAGAAAAGAGACAGCCAAAGGGGCAGAGAGATCATCTGAAGAAACAATGGTTGAAAACATCCCAAATTTTTAAAAAAGACACAGATCTACAAATTGGAGAAGCTCAACGAATTATAAGTAGGATGAATCCAAAGAGACCCACACAGAGGGCATTATAATCAAACTATTGAAAGTCAAAGACAAAGAGAGAATCTTGAAAGAAGCAAGAGAAAAATGAGTCATCACATACAAAGGAGCCTTTATAAGATTATCGGTAGATTTCTCAGCAGAAACCTTGCCAACCAGAAGGCAGTACGATGATTTATTTAAAGTGCTTAAACCAAAACAAAAACTATCAACTGAGAATAACATAGCCAGAAAAACTGTCCTTTAAAAGTGAAGGAGACTTTAAGACATCCCCAGATAAACAAAAGCTGAGGGAATTCTTTGCCACTAGACCCGCCCTACAAGAAATGCTAAGAGGAGTCCTTGAGGCTGAAATGGAGCAGTGCTAGACAGTAACTGGAAGCTGTACAAAAATATGAAGACCTCTGGTAAATGTAAACACATGGGCAAATATAAAAACCACGATTATTGTAAGTTTGGTTTATAACTCTGCTATTTTCTACAGGGTTTAAAAAACAAATGCATAAAAATGATTATAAATCCATGTAAATGGGTACACAATATACCAAGATGTCAGTTGTGACGTCAATAACATGAAATGGGAGGGGGCAGAGCTGTAAAGAAGTAGGGTTTTCATATTTATGAGTTAAGTCAATTTAAAATAGATTGCTTTAACTTTAGGATGCTATATATAATCCCCATGATAACTACAAAGAAAATATCTCCAGAATATACACAAAAGGAAATGAGGAGGAAATAAAAACGTGTCACTGGAAAAAATCAACTAAACATGAAGAAAGGCAGTAATGGAGAAAATGAGGGATAAAAAAACCCTGTAAGACATTCACAAAACAAATGACAAAATAGCAAAACTAAGTCCTCCCCTAACAATAATTAATTTAAACATAACTAGACTAAACTCTCAATCAAAAGATGCAGATTGGCAGAATGGAGGAGAAAACCCAGGATCCAACTATATGGCATCTATGACGCTGTCTTCAGATCGAAGGACATGCATAGGTTGAAAGTGAAAGAACAGAAAAAGATATCCCATGCAAATAGTAACCAAAAGAGAGCAGGGTGGCTACACCAGTATCATAAAAAATACACTTTGGGTCAAAAACTGTTACAAGAGTCAAAGAAGAATAGTATATACTGAAGAAAGTGTCATGAAGAAATAGAAAATCCTAATAGACCTAGAATTAGTAAGGAAAACTTCCCCCAAATAGAAGACTATGATTAGAAGCCTCCACTGGTGAATTCTACTTAGCATTTAGCTGGCTTAACATAATAAAGCCCGTTTACGGAAAGCCCACCACTAACGTCATGCTCCATGGTAAAAGACCAAAAGCTTTTCCTCTAAGATCGGGAACAAGACAAGTATGCTGGGTTTTGCCACGTAGTATTGAAAGCTCTGGCCAGAGCAATTAAGCAAGAAAAGGAAATAAAAGGCATAGAAATTGAAAAGGAAAAAGGAAAATTATCTCTGTAGATGACATGATCTTACATGTACCAAACCCTAAAGACTACACACACACACACACACACACACACTCAAACTGTTAAAACTAATAAACAAGTTCAGCAAAACAGCAGGATACAAAATCAACACGCAGGGCTGGCCCCGTGGTGGAGTGGTTAAGTTCTCGGGCTCCACTGTGGCCGCCCAGGGTTTCCCCGCTTTGCATCCTGGGCGCGGACATGGCACCACTCGTCAGGCCACATTGAGGTGTTGTACCACATGCCACAACTAGAAAGACCCACAACTAAGATATACAACTATGTATTGGGGGGATTTGGGGAGATAAAGCAGGAAAAAAAAACAACATGCAAAAATCAGTTGCATTTCCATACACTAACAATGAACAATCTAAAAATGAAATTAAGAAAACAGTTCTATTTACAATAGCATAAAAAAACAACAAAATACTTAAGAATAAACTTAAGCAAGGAGGCAAAAGACAGATTGAAAACTACAAAACATTGTTGAAAGAAATGAAAGAAGACACCAGTGAATGACAAGATATCCTGTGTTCATGGATTGGAAGATTTAATATTGTTAAGACATCAATACCATCCAAAACTATCTACAGGTTCAATGCAAATCCTGTGATGATTTTTGCAGAAATTTAAAAAATCCACCCTAAAATACATTAAGAATCTCAAGAGACTCTGAATAGTCCAAACAATCTTGAAAAGAACAACCAAATTGGAGGATTCGCATTCTCTGATTTCAAAACTTATTACAAAGCTACAGTAATCAAAATAATGGGATACTGGCATAAAAGCACATAAAACCAATGGAATAGAATAAAGAGCCCGGAAATAAACCCTCACATATCTGGTGAAATGATTTCAACAAGGATGTCAAGACCATCCAATGAAGAAAGGACTGTCTTTCAACAAACAGTGTTGGGAAAACTGTCTATCCACAGGCAAAGAATGAAGTTGGACCCTTACCTTACACCATATACAAACATAAATGCAAAATGGACCAGAGACCGAGATATAAGACAGAAAACTATCAAACTCTTAGAAGAAAACATAAGAAAGAAACTTCATGACATTGAATATGGCGATGATTTTGAGACTGAGAACGAATGGGCTAAAATTTTCTCTAGATTCGAGCAAGAAAAAAAAGAAGAAGAAAGAAAAAAATGGAGAGAAACTGCTACCTACAGCCGTGCATGCACATACGCAGCTACTAACAACCGACCGCTGCTTAAGACTGACCAGGTCTCTCTTGCTGTTCCTCCTTAGTACATGATGAGTGAGTTGGTTTTACAGAAAGTTAAAGTCCAGATGGTCAAGGAAAAAAGAGGTTCAGTCTCACGAGACAAAACACAGGCCGAAGATGACACCAAAGATCCAAGATAAACCTCACGCGAAGGCACTAGGCTTTCCTTGTGACAATCTTGATGATTCGGAGATTGGCTTTGCTATGTGCTGGATAAACAAACCCAAGTTTGTGTTTGATTTCAATTTCCAGGATATGACATCAAAAACATAGGCAACAAAATTCAAAATTTTATGTGCCAAAGAATACTACCAACAGGGTAAAAAGTTAACTCATGGAATGAGAGAAAATGTTTGCAAATCTTACATGTATAAAAGATTAGGATCCAGAATATGTAAAGAATTCCTATAACTCAACAACAACAAACAACCCAATTATAAATGGGAAAAGAACTTGAACAGACATTTCTCCAAAGAAGACATACAAATGGCCAATAAACATCTGAAAAGATGCTCAACGTCACTAACAATTAGGGAAAAGCAGACTAAAACCATAATGAGACACCACTTCACGCCCATTAGGATGGCTTTTACCAAAAAACCAGAAAACAAGAAGTGTTGGTGAGGATATAGAGAAATTGGAACCCCTGTGCATTATTAGTGAGAATGTAAAATGGTACAGCCACTGTGTGGCAGCATGGCAGCTCCTCGAAAATGTAACCATGTGACCCAGCTATTCCTCTTCTGGGTACATCCCCAAAAGAACTGAAAGCAGGATCTTGATGAGAGAGATTTGTGCGTCTATGTTCACAGCAGTATTATTTACAGTAGCCAAAATGTAGAAATAATCCAACAGTGGATGAATGGGTGAGCAAAATTGCCGTATCCATACAACGGAATATTATTCAGCCTTTAAAAAGGAAGAAAAGTCAGACAGATGCTGCAATGTAGGTGAACCTTGAAAACACGATGCTAAGTGAAATAAGCCAGTCACAAAAAGACAAATACTGTATGCTTACACTTAGGAGAGTTACCCAGAGTAGTCAAATTCGTAGAGACACAAAGTAAATCGTGGTTACCAGGCGCTAAGGGGGTGGGGGTGGGGAGAATGGGGTGTTGCTTAATGGGTCCCGAGTTTCAGTGTGAAATGATGAAAAAGTTCTGGAGATGAATGGTGGTGGTGGTCGTGCAATGATATGAACATACCCAATGCCACTGAACGGTACACTTAAAAATGGTGAAAATGGTAAATTTTGTTACGCATGTTTTACCACAATAAATTTTTAAAAAATCGACCAGAAAACATAACATAATTGGGAAAAAAGAGAGTGGAGTTGGGAAGAGTGAGGAACGAAGAAGAAAGAGAAGGGGGGAGGCAAGCAGAGGGGAGGAGCGGGAGAGAGAACATGAGGGAGGGAACAGGTGTCGCCCGTGACAAGTGGTCAGGTGACGCCAGAACAGCTTTCCCGAGGGGTTGTGGATGGTGGGGTGCTGAGCCCCTGAGCACACTCCCTTCCCAGCGCTGGAAGGGAGGGGGCGAAATGAAGCCTGCGCTGTGCAGCAGGCCCCAGAGTCCGCGTTTCCCTATTTTCTGCCCAGCTTCCTACGTCCCAAACTTGCACCTGAAGTTTGAGAAGGGGCGTCGCGCAAGTTCTCCTGAATATTTGGTCTTTTCCAGTTCACCAAAGCCGCGGAGAAAACACCCCAGTGCATTTACAGAAAAGAGTACGTGCCCTTCCCGGGCCACAGACTGGACCAGATCTCCAGGTGGTACGGCAAGAGGAGAATTGAGGTAAGAGGGATGGGCCCCACACTCCGCTGGGCCCCTCCCACCGCTCAGGAGACACGGCCAGCAAGCTTCCTCCGGGCCCAGCTCCCTCTTGGGAGCACAGGAGGACTCGCCTTAACACCCTCCCAGCAGTGGGGCAGCCGATAGCATTCACCCTTGTTTACTGAAGAGTGCTCCATCCGTGTAATCTCAAGCTGGTGGTGCTCCGCTCACCTGGGATCCCAGAACATTCCTGGATCATTTCCCCCATTCTTCCGTACTCTTCCAACAGGAAACAGGCAAAGGATGTAGGAAACAAACAAAAAAAAGTGGGTATCGAATTAAGGTGAATAGAGTCGGGAATCATATAAGGGACTCCAAAAGAAGGGTTGCTGATGTTTGGACGGTGTTTTGTGTCATCTATGCCTTGCTTCCTATTCTTTTGGGAAGTCAAGGCCCGTTCAGCACTCTGTCCCTCGTGGAGCGCCTGTCCGTGCATCTCGTTGTGTCCCAGGCCCCCAGAGCAGGGAGCAGGGCACTGCAACTCAGGACACGCCCCCACACCCAAGACCAGGCATCCGAGACATTTACTAACTTAGGCGAGAGTGTGCCAGAGGCTCAGAGATGCTGGCCCTTCCAGGAACAGGAGGGAGAGCCTCCTCCTGCCTCAGCCCCTGTCGGTGGTGTCCGCCAGGCTTGCCCTGGGGGAACAAGCGTGCAGGTGCTCAGCCACCGGGTGCACAGCTATGCCCTGCCCCCACCACGCTCTGGATGTCCCCCAGGTTGCTTCTTTTGCCAGCTCGCTGCTCATGGGGGTGACTTCTATGCCCCTCACTCCCACCCTACCTAACCCTACATCTGCCTAAACTCAGGGTGGGGGCAGGGAGGCACAGAATGAGGGGTGGAATCGGTCGGAATGGGAGCATTTCAGAGCTGGAAGGGACTCAAGAGATTGTTCGGCTTGCGCCCTCATTTTCAGAGAAAGGGTGCCCAGGGTGGTGAGTGTCAGGTCCGAAGCGGTGTAGCTTGCTGCTAAGGGACTGAGCAGGGGGCTGCTGTGCAAATCAAGCACGGAATCTCCTCAGATCCCTTGTCATCATCTCCTAGAGTTGACGCTTTGTTTTCTGCATTTGGGGATCCATGTCAGGATAAACAGAGCCAGATTTTCAGTTCTGTGCTGGCATTCCTGGTCCACGCTGGCATCTCTGGACCACACTGGCATCTCTGGACCACACTGGCATCCTTGGACTATGCTGATGCTCTGGGGCTGCCGAGCTTCCCATTAGTGTGCACTGAAGACCCAAATGCATTTTAATATAAGAAAGTCGAATTAGAGCCTATGATCTGGGGCTCCCGGCCCCCGCCATCAATGTACGTGAGGCACTTAGCCTAGTTCTCGATACACTTTGGGTGCCCTTTCCTAAAGACTTTTGGACCCGTTACAAACCCCGATGAAGGGATAGCCACACATTCCACATGCGTATAGTCTGGTTCACATTGAGACCCCTCCCTCCAACACGCACAAAATAGAAGGAGGCAATGGAATATTTGTTCCTAAGGACTCTCTTCACATGGCCTGTTGTGTGCCATGGACCCTGGACACGGCACCACGTGCACACGACTGCTTCAACTGTCTGGTCTTCTGTGCGCCTCCTCCTGGCCCTCCTCCCACAGCACAGCTTCCCCTTCCGTCTCCATCCCCACCTCACTCCTCTCCCTTCTCAGGCAGATGCTGCATCTGCTCTTCAAACTGACGGTGGAGAGATGGGGTTACCCTCCTCCAGGGAGGACCCCTTCCTGCGCTTTTTCCCTCAGCAGGTATATTAATCACATTTTGTATTTTCTGTATCTTATGAAGCTTTGATCTCCTAGGGGCCTTGCTAATCCTGGAGAGACCGCCGCCCCCAGCGCTAGCTGATTCCTAGAGAGTAAGCATCTTGCCTGCATCACACCTCGCAGACGTGCCCATCCGTCCGGAGCCCATACCCCAACCCCCTCCTTTGTCTGAGGCCCCCACAGCACGCCAGCACCCCCCGCCCCAAATCCCTCCAGGGCCTGGCACCAACCGCCGGACACCCTCTAGCCTGGAGCCTGCTGCTGAAATTATTCAAACTACGCTGTCCTAAACTTCTCAAATTTGTCTACTCTCCCTTGCCCACACCTTCCCTCGGGAACCACAGGGAAGGCCCTGGGTCATGCTCTCTCCCTGCGACTTCTGCCTCCTGGCCAACCTGCTGCTTCTCCGTGTGGCCCTGTGCGGTGTGGCCTGTCCCCTCCTCTTGGGAATTGTAAGTCATAAACTGCTCTCTCAAAGGCAGTTGTCTCTATGTCTGTCACCTTACCCTACCTGCTGAAAACAAAAATCCTGAGCACATAATCAAGACAGCTGGGCTGCACCCCACGCCAAGAGAAACAGCACGAACGTCCCTCTCAGCCCCTCTCCTTTCTCTACCGTGAAGCCTCCTCAGCGCTTCCCTTGCTTGATGGGAACCCCTCCATCTTGCTTTCCCTGGCATTGGAAATGTACTCCGGGCACCTGGTGATGTGGATCTCGGAAACCCCTGCCTAATGTCTGTGCCCATCCCCCCTGACTCCTTCTGGCATTGTGATCTGACTTATTTATGGAGCCATCCCTTGAAATATTGGGTGTAGCCAGCATTTCCACACCACGGCAGACACAGACCTCCCTGTCTGTTCCAGACAAGAGGACGGGCATGGAAATCCACATTATCCTCCCCTGTAAATCAGCGCAGGCCCCCAGGATTCCCTTCCAGGGCCAAGAGGATTTTCTTAGGAACAGCGCTGATTCAGGGAAATGTTCCTGAGTAAGGAGAACATAGCTTTCTTCTCCCGTAAATAATTTCCCACCAAAGAAATCGCTCCCTGGGTTTCCAGACGAGGGAGCCGTAAATCCTTTGCAAGAGAAGGCGATTTATGGAGCGTTCCGACTCTTCCCATAGTAACGGATTGAAATACAAGGTGCATACATCAGGCTTGGTATTCAGCATGTTTCACTTGCCGTGGAAATAGGCGCTTGGATGGATGAGACTCGAGACAAATCGAAGGGTGCAGTTTCAGATCCCAAAGGAGCAACAAGGTGGCTCTGACTCTTTCTATTCACTCGGTGTCCCCACTTTCATTTTAATGTGTCCCCATTGCTCATTCTATGGATGAATTGGCTTGGCATAGGCGGGGCACCACTCAGACAGGGAACTGACTGCAGCTAAGCTGGGACGTGTGTTTGAAGGTGAGCTGTGTCAGGGTGGGACAGACAAGCGTGTCTCCCGTTTGCTGGCCTCGAGGGCTCAGGCAGCCACGTTCGCCACCAGCCCTTGGAGGCCCCCTCTCCATCAGCACCCAGATCTCCATGGCGGGCAGCCTCTGTCTCCATCCATGGCCAGGTGGATGCCTTGCTCTGATGGGTAACATGCCCACTGTGTCTGTCCTTCCAGGGGCTCCCGTACAAACACCTGATCACCCACCACCAAGAGCCCTCGCACCGCCATCTGATCAGCACGTACGATGACCATTACAACCGGCATAATTATAACCCGGGCCTGCCCCCACGCCGCACCTGGAATGGACACAGGTTGCTGTGGCTCCCAGAGAAAGCCGACTTCCCCCTTCTCGGTATTTTTATAATTCAGGATCTCCCCCTGTATTGGGCTGTAAGGGGTCCACAGCTGCACAGGCTGAGGGAGGGCCCTCACGGGCGACCCCAGCTCCAGGACAGCATTGGAATGAGAGGGTTTACCCCCAGGGCTGCTGCCTGCCCTCTGCCCTTGACGGGGTAATGTCGGCTGGCTGATGAAGCCCTCACCTGGGCACCACGGCTGCATGTTTACCTGGAGCACAGGTGGCGGGGAGTGACGCCCCTGCACACTCAGATCAGCCATTCATTCATAAATAGGGACTGATGACTTCCCAGGTGCCAGGCCCTGCGGTAGCACTTGGGGACACAGCAGTGACAAACTTGGAAGAATTCCTGCCCCCGGGGAGTTGACATTCCAGTGGGGAGACAGAAAGACACTGTTAATTCATAAGATAACGTAAGATCTAGTAAATAAGGGAAGTTTGGCCCAGGCTATGTGCTATGAGGAAAAGAGGTAATGGGCAGAAAGCCAGGTGGGTGTTTGTGACTTTCCTTTGGGTGGAACCAGGAGAGATGGTCTTTTCTGAGCAGAGAGTTGAGAAGGAGAGAGCCATGCAGGGGCTGGGGGGAAGAGCATCCCAGGGAGAGAATAGCAAGTGAAAAAGCTCCAAGGCAGGAGCAGAGGGAGACCATGCAGGCATTCTCAGGCCACAATAAGGAGCGTGGACTGTGTCCTTCCTGCAGCAACAAGACTCAGAAGGATTTCTTCGGAGAGTGTCTTGCTCTGAGTTACATTTCAAGCTACCCCATCCTTTGCCGCCGTCTTTTTGCAGTCCTAGCCTTTGAGGCAAAGGGACACAGGCCAGAGAGTGAGCTGCTTGTCACAGACCAGTCCTTCTGCCAGGCTGCTCCCCGAGGTGGCTCCCACAAGCCCACACGGCTCCCTTCCCTGCTGGGGCGGGAGCATCACCCAGCCAGCCAGGCCGTGGCGCTGACTTTTCCGACGCCTCTGCAGCAGAGTCTGCTCCCTCCTGAGTACACAGGGAGCCCCATGCTGAGGCCCTCTTCCCTCGGGGGCACTGCCAGCCCAGTCCTCATACAGCAGGATGGGAAACCCTCCAGGGTCCCCGTTGTCCTGGCCGCCGGGCAGGCCTCCTCCTCTGAGCCCTGGTTTCTTTTGCAGCTCCTCCTACGAACTACGGACTCCACGAGCGGCTGAAGCAGAGATGGCTCAAACCCGTGGCTGGCCCGAGGGAGCCTGTTTACACCTCCTCCTACCCCAGACCACCCTTGTGTGCCTTGTCCCAGCGGGAGCATGCCATCCCGGTCCCCCCCCCTCGCCTGCACCCTGTCCCACACTTCTGAGAACTGTCACCCCACCAGCAGTGCAGGCAGAACCAACTGGAGAGCCCCCGCACCATCGGACCCGCCAGAGAGCAGGCGGCTGCAGATACACCCAGAGCTTTTAATCCGGCCCATCAGAGAGGCCCTTAGAATCATGATGTGTGTTTTATGGTTCCCAGCCCTCCTCCAAACCCACAGCTTCCTTTCTTTCCCATGCCACAATTAAAGCTCTTTGGCATGGTGGAGTGCCGTGTATGTACAGAAGACAGACCTCATTTCACATGAGGGGAAACTGAGGCAGAGAGGTAACATGACTCCTTCAAGTTCTTACAACCTGGTACACAGCCTCCAGGAGTGTCTGATCCAATGGGAAAAACCGACCCGACTACGAGACCCACCTCGAAAACTCCAGGGAATGGTCAGCGTGGTTACGGGCAGGGCAGCGCTCAGGAGCCACGGTGCTCAGGCTTCTGAAGCTGCGGGCTGGGAGGAGGCGAGGACACGCGGCATCTCCCCTCCGCCTCCAAGCCCTGGGATCCTCTTGGGAGCTTGGGGACGGGGCATTTTTCAGTGAGTGTGTTGGAATGAGGGTGGACCCTTGACACTTGGGCGCTGTCCTGGCCCAGGGGCTTGGCGCTGACCTCGCCCAGGACGAGTCCCTGAGGCACGTTCCACCACTCGACGTGGAGGCCAGCCTCGGGCCGAGAACAACACCCGTTCTCGCCAACTCCTAGAACTGGACAATTCCAGCAGGTCTTTCTTTGAACGGCCCTTCTGCGCCTTGTGCCTCCGCCCGAATTGCTCGCAGTCACTCCTGGAGGCACAGGGCTCTGTGTAGACTTGTGCTTTGTAATCACTGGCTGGATGAATGAATGAACGTTGTCTCTTTGGGGGCTCCTCTCTACCCCGCTCCTTACGTTCCACTCTCGTTCTGCACTGGGAGTCTCCATCCAGCTGTGCCCCATGAACCCCTGCTCCAAGGTGGACCTCGTGTCCAGGCCCCAACCCACCTTGACAGCTGAAGACCCCTTCTTCTTTCCAGAGCTCAGCTTCTCCCGTTTCTGACTCAGAGGGAGCCCCCTCGATTCCTTCTGCCATCTTCAGAGAGGAAATCCCCTTCCTGCCTCTCCATTCTTTCCAGCCAGGTCCTCCATCCCCGCCAGTGGTACCGACGTGGCTGTGTGGTTCTGCCAGCCCACCTCGCGTGTTCTGCCACTAAAAACAAACAAACAACAGCTGTTTTCCTGCTTTGCAGAAAAATTAATGGGTAGAACTATTCCTCCATGAGTCTTTTCCTTACATTTTGGGCACCTGCAAATAATCAAGAAAAAAAAGCAAGAAAAACAATCGAGTTAATATTTATTGTGGGTTGAGCAGGTACCACAAGCCAGGATCTGGACCTAAAGGGAATCATCTCATTGACTCTTCAGCACCTCATCCACAGCAGGGGCCCCGAGAGGGGGGATTGTAAATGTCGTTGCCGTTTTACAGACGGGGGAAGGCAATAGAGATGAGCTGACCGGCCCAAGGTCACGAGTCCTACAGCCGGGATTTGAGCCCAGGCAGGCTGGTCACAGAGCAGGCACGCTTAGCCTCGTGCAAAACTGCCTCCTCAAAGAAATGCCGGCAGACACCCTGGGGACCAGCTGGGCACGTCTGGGTCTGCTGCACTCAAGGGCACACTTGTGTGGCTGGAGGTGATTTTATACCGCAAACTAATCCAATTCAACGTGGGGGACTTCCGGGTTAGTGCCATCCCTTTCAAGGGTGCCTGCTGACCCAACGCCTCCTGTTTCAGATTCCTTTGGCACCGACACTAGTGCGTTCACACATTTCTCCAAGAGTCTGTGCGAGGATGCTGTCTTCTCTACTCTGCTCAAAGTGCCGTGAAGTCAGAGCCTGGCATGCTCCACGTGCTGCAAAATGTTTGCTGAATGAATGACTGACAGGAAGAATGGGGGAAGAGAGGAAGGTTGTGCTAGAAGAGCTCCAAGTGGCAGCTGTGGGTGGAGCAAGCTGGTCTTCCTCACACCTCCAACAGCCAGCCGTTCATTCCACAGACGTCCACGGAGCATGATCGAGCCCGGCCCTGGCCTCACGGAGCCTACAGGCCAGAAGAGGAGAGGGACCTTAAACCAATACTCGTGGGACAGAGAGATGTTGGGGGCCAGGCTTACAGAACTCGGGCCTTGGGGGCCGGTGGGCCATGAGGGAGATTGGTGGGGTGTGCTGAAGTACAGAGGGGCCATGGGAGCAATGACGGGGCATGGAGACATCATCTAGTCAGGGAGGGCTTCCCTGAGGAAGGGGCATTTGGGCTGAGACCAGGACGCTGAGAGGGACTAGCCAGGACCAGGACCGGTGGGGAGGGAGGAGAGGGTGTCGGCCACAGGAGCAGCACGCGTGCGCCTCTGAGTTGGGAAGGAGTTTGGCAGATTTGTTAAAGGCCCAGAAAGGCGGTGTTTTCTCTTCCTTTTGCTGCTGCAATAAATGCCATGAACTTAGTGGCCCAGAGCGACACCAGTTCATTCTCTTACAGCTCGGGAGAGGTCCACAGTGCGTCCCCAGGGCTGTGACCCTTCTGGAGGCTCTAGTTTTCTTGCCTTTCCAGCTTCTGGGGAGACTGACGTTCCTTCACTCACGGCCCCTCCTCCGTTTCCAGAGCCGCCAGCTCAGCATCTTCTTTCCTCTCTGTCTCCCCCTCCCAGGGACCCTTCGGTCACAGTGGATAGTCTAGGATCATCCCCATCTCAAAATCCTCAATCACGTCTGCAAAGTTCCTTTTGAATGGAAACTAACATATTCACAGGTCCGGGGGACGAGGATGGCGACGTTCGGGGGCATGTTATTCACCTGGAGCCTGGATGCAAGGAGTTCTCTGCGCTCAACACGCGTTCCATTGCTCATCCCCAATCCGTCTCGTCCCTGCAGAGTTTCTGGATCAGTGGGGCTGGGGTGGGGCTGAGAAGCCACATTCTGACCGAGTTTCCAGGCGATGCTGATGCTGCTGGTCCAGGGAACACACTTTGGGAACCACTCCAGTAGGCTGAGCTACTCTTATCTTATTTGTGCAATTTCTTTAGAATAACAGAGTCAACAGTGAAAACGGAGCAAACATTTGGCCTGGATGCTCGCTAACGCGTCCTCCAGCCATAGCAGGCGCCCTGACTCCAGGATTTTATTACAAAGCACAAAGTGAGCAGTGCATTGCCAGGTGTGGGGACAGCAAAGTGTCATAGTCAAGAGCACTGACAAACGGACGTGCCTTAGGATTCCAGTTCCACCGCTCATGGGCTGTGTGACCTTGAAGAAGTTACCGTCCCTCTCTGAATCTCTTTCTATTGAATGGGTACAATGACAATCTCTAAACCAGATGAAAACGCTGAGCCCAGAGTTTGGTACAGACTAAATCCTGCATGAATGGTGGCGGCTGTTGGACATTCACAGACAGCGGGCATGATCAAGACAACACCAAAGCTACAGAGGACGGCCCAGACCTGGGGCAGAGTCTACCCATGTGCCAGCCGTTCCCTCTCCCAAGACATGAGGACGCTCTGACTGCGAGGACCCAGCACCATAGGGGTCAAGCCTGGGCGCCCCGGAGCTCTGCCCGTTGGCTGGGACGGGCCTGCCCCCTGGTGGCCAATTGACACCAAGGCACAGGTGACCACGGTTTCAGGTTCAGGTTCCTCTGTCTTGGGCGCTAACTCTGGGGAGCAGATGTGAAAATCATCCAAAACCACACTTTCCCCCCAGCCATTTTTTCTTTGTTCTCGGGAAACATCTGGAGGCTTGTGGTGAACTTGGTGTGCCGATGCCCGGAGAATTCATGCCTGAATTTGAAGGCCAAGCCTTATCGGTCCCTAAGCCCCAGTGGGGCTCACTTTGAGGTCCCAGCTCTGGCCAGACATTCGCTTGCCGGGCACCTCACTTCATGCCCGGGCCTCGGGTTCTTCATCTGAGAAACGAGAGGACTCTGAGCTCCCTGGGGAGGTTGGGGTGGAACCCTAGGTTCCCCAGTTGCTCCTGGATCCGGCTGGTGTGCTGGGGTGGTTGTTTCCTGGCCTTGAGCTCCCTCAGCCGCTGGTGCAGGTGGAGCTCGGAACCCGGGTCCCTAACTCGTAGCTGGGGGTCTTCCCACCTCATGCCCCCTGGGGGAGTGGGAGAAAGGCCTCCTTCTCTGTCTGGTAGGAAACCCAAATGAAGGCGAAATTGCCCGGGATCTTTCTCCACAAGACACGAGCCCCACAGCCTCCAGGGCCAGACGGGGGATGAGGCAAGGGGTGCAGGCGGGGACCAGGGACACCTGGAAGGCACAGGACCCCAGTTCAGGAACAGCTGCCTCTCAGTTCATGCCAAGTGATGCCCTTTGAGGATGTAGGTTCAGTGTTGCTAGACCTTTCTTTATTCCCCTGAGGGATGTTGGAGAGTAAATTGTGATATAAAATCTGATTTTGACACTCCGGCCACAAATTTTATTTTTTAAAACATTGTCTCAAAACATGTCTGTGGGACACATTTGGCTTTGGGGACGCCACCCTGTGGCCTCTGAGACGGGGAAACAGTCTAGCATGGCATTCTGGCCTGACCCAGAACGGCCCTGATGAATCAGAAGAGAAACTGCCATCCTTCGCTCTTCCTGCCCTGAGACTGACCTTGGTTAGGGACCCGGCTCTGAAACTTGCTGGGGCTGGAATCCCCCTCATACCCCAACAACTCCGCACCACCAGGCGTAAAATCCCGAGTCCGTGAAGGCATTTGCAAACAGTCATTGACTGAGTATGTATGTGATTTTCCGTGAATAGAATTATATCGCATATGCTGTTCTGTACTTTTTTCTTTCACTCAAAGATGTAATGGTCTGAATCCTAACATGGCCCACCGACTTCCTACTTTTTTTTTTTATACCTGCTCCTTTCTCGTTCCTCCCAATCTCAGGAAGTCAAGTTCAAGCTCTAGAAGGCCCCCCGACTCCTCTCTTACCCTCACACTTCACCTTCACTCTAAGAGCGAGTCCTGCCGATTCCACCTCCAGGATATCCCCAAAGCTGTCCCCACGGCCACTCCAGCACAAGCCAGGATGCTCCACTGGGAGCAGCCAAGGGTCTCCCAGCTGGCATCTCTGCTTCCTTGTTAGCTCCCCCACAGAACATAATCCAACAGCAACCGGGGGGGCTGGAAAACACACATCCAGTCATGTCACAGCCACACTCGCAAGCTTCCAGTGATGCCCTGGGAGGCCCCTGCCCTGGTGTCACCTCCCACCTCCCCAGCCTC